ATGAAATTATTCTGATGTTGATATTGATATTTTTGCATCGAATCTCAATAAATAACATTCAATTTAATGAGATCAGCTCGATAGATACAAAGTGGTGTAAAGCAAAAGGCTTTAGTCATATTGAAAATTTAAAAAACTTTCGAATTTTCTGTAATTTTCTTTTCGTGGAAGTCTGAACGTGGCTGAAGAATGATGAATAGATTCTATTTAACGATATACTTTAGAGGAAAATTTCTTTTGATACAAAAAGAAGAAAAGCTTAAGAAAGAAACAGTTAATTGAATCGCTTTAAATAATTGTCAATCATAGCAATTTTGCTAAAAATATTATGTTTTTCGATAATCTATCTTCTTATATAGTTGAACAGCATATTAAGAGAGAATCATTTTTGAGCATTCTTTAAATTTCTTTATAAATATTGTTAATATTATTCTGTGATAATTCGTGGAAGAGTACAGGTGTGGGTCAAAATTCGATTGAGAACTGTCGTAAAGTGAATCTTTGAGATATCACTATGAGTTACTCGTAACTTGATTCCAACACGGAAAATCGAAATATTCTGAAAATAACAAAAGAACATCGTCTGCCCTCTTTGTTTTTAGAATAGAGATACTCAAATCTCTTCTATTCCATAGAGGAAATTGTACTTCAATATCATTTCGTGTTCGCAAGTTATTGAAAAATTCAGAAAGTTTGATAATGTATATTTCATAAAGTACGCTGATCCTCAAAAGCTTAAACTATCTATTAAAATATTTTAATAAATTATTTTATTTTTATTGAAATGTAATGGAACATTTTGTTGACTCATCTTAAGAAAAATTATAACTGAAAAATGGATTATTATTTCAATTTGAAATAAATCTTAGATTTTAGTTCAACTAGAAAAGTAAATAGAAGATTCAAATGTATTTGCGTATTTTTAAAAAATTGCAATTGATCTTTATTGAAAGAGGAAACAGATCAAATATAATTAATATTTGAATGTATTAAATAAATATTCCTTTTATAAAAATGAATATTATGCCACAG